GCACATAAAATCATTTCGAGTCATCGAATGACACATTTCTTGTGTGTGGACGCAGCTTCACCGTCCTCTTTCCTCATTTTTCGCTACACATCTCTCGGTGCAGTCTGTTGCCAGACTAATCCAGGTATTAGTCAGATTTGATAATTAATCGCATAGTGAATAGCCAGAACCTTGAGAAATTAGACTCGCGTAGCGAAGAGTTACTGTGCCTTACTGTTTTTTTTAATTAAAGTATGTTTTTAAAAAAAACGACGCCTTTCCACTTGTGGGCATTTGTTGTTCATTGCTTACAAAAATACATTAGATATGTTGAATAGATTCCACTTTTAAAATCCTTAAAGATGGTACTGACAGAGGACCCCCCAAAAAATAGTGTCGATTCCCAGTAAGTAAACTGCCTCACAATTATTCTATGGATATTCCAATATTTATAATCTGAATTTTTCAAATGAAAGAAACAAACTTTTTTTGAATGAACTATTATTTGTTAATAGAAACGGCACATTTAATTGCATATGAGTTACGGCAGAGATCTCAGAGCTCAAGAAACATACTGCGAGCGTTCACTAAACTGGGTGGTGTACGTCTCATCAATATTACGACTCCAACGCTAGTAAGACAGGACAGCATTGTCGGAATGACATTGTCGACTTGTGGTGACTTTTGAGAAATGAATGGGGTGCGGGCGACCAACATTAAGGACACGGATCTACAGCGACAAAGTCGCGTTTGTCGCTGCCTTCAAAATCACATCAAAGCATGTGAAAGTCGCGGCGAAACATTCGTCGAGTTCGCCAAAGATTCTCTGACCGCGGGTATAATGGGGGGAACAAATTATCACTCACTGTAATGCCTCAGGAAGAACGCACAACCCTCCGCACTATGCGATTCCAAAGATGTCGGAAATTTAAAAATAAATTTCCTTCTTAGCTTGGTAATAATCACTTGACATGATCAAAAAATCGTTCGGTTTTCGCCTTAGACAGGTTTCCGGTTTAGAGTGGCATTTTTGAATTGATTGAATTGAATTTGCCTTTTTTTACGTGGCGAGACTCGGGCCATCAGGCCCGCTCTTGCCGTCTGACCGCACGCAAATTTCGCTACGCTCCTTTCACGCGACTAAGAGAAAGGAGGTATTCCTTGGGCGAGAAACAGGCGATTGAATTTAGCTCAGAGGCGTCATTTAGGCTTGAGGATCTTTTAACATGCAAGTAAATCTAACGAACATGGGACAGCCGGCTTTACTTCCCCTCCGAAGGAAGGCGTACGAAGGATTTTTTCGCCCTTAAAAATCCACGGCTTCGATGGGTTTGAACCCGCCAACTTGGTACAACAGTCCAGTACGCTAACCATTACACATTCGCCGCCGCAATCGCATCATTTTCAACGTATTAAAAGAATTTTAGACTGCACACGTTCTCGCATTTTAGCCGGAATAGCAGGTTTCCGTCTTAGAGGTTTCACCGTATTTACTAAATGAATTTTTCGATACATGTTATAATCTTTATTAAAAATGTGGGTTACTTATTTTTGAAGATTTGCTGCCTCATAAAGTTGCTAGCATCACCATTTCAAGCCTTCTTTTATAGAATTTAAAAAAAATGAAAACTCTCGCTGAATTTCAGGAAAACTCTTGATCATTGGTTCTAATTTAAAAGCTAAAATTATACTTTCCCCTCATTCGCATGTCTGTTTACATTACATCTCTTACTCTTTATAAAATTCTTAAATACTCACAGTTGATTAAACCAGTTTGTATCTATTCTCGAACCCTAAGCATGTTTCATCATCTCTTCCACATTTCATTACGCACATTACTCCTAGATCAAAAACAAAACAAAACATGTGCTACCATCCTTTGTCTTCCTTCTCGTTCTCACATTTTCTTACAATTAATTTATAATATGTTTCCTGCTATCCTTTTTTGCTCGTTTTCTTCAATTAAATTACACAATTAATGAGTAGTATTTGGAGCCAATAAAATACTATTTCCATTTATTTAAATACAAACTCTTTCTGTTTCAGTTCCAAGAGCATACATATCTCACTCGATACATGGCACAAAGAGTAAATGCAAACATAAGCACAACCACTATTCCAATTGTTTCCTTGCAAATATTATAATACACAAAACAATATGAACAAAACAGTTTGTCAATTTCACTGTATGTATTGGTTACTGGATACCTGCAATGCTTCAAATTAAAGACATAATTCGGGGCCAACAAATTACAAAACATATTCAATTCAAAATCTACATTTATTGCATTAATAGATTTTTTAGCTGTAACAAACAGGCTCTTAAGCATAAAATTATTTAGAGTTTCAACATTACTAGTATTTTGTAGCTGTTTAGAAAAATAGCACCAACATATCAAACAACAATATCAATTTCCATTTACAAAGGCATATCTTTGTTTTAAACATATTTATCATGTTAACACAAACAATGTAGTATTTTAGGAAAAAATGCATTCACAACCACCATCAAAATACAATAACACAATATGCAAGTCAAACATTTTAAACAACAGGTCAAGTCTATGTCTAAATGAGTATCAATTTTAATAGTAAAAACTAATCATTCAATAGTTTACATCTGACATGCTCTTTTCCATTAATATGCACACTGAAACATTCTGCTTATACAAATCATATTATCATCATTACTTTCCTGATTTTCCTAACAGTAATGTTAAACAATCACAAAATCTTACATCAATTAGTGAAAGAGCAAAAGTGTTAAAAAAAATAATATGCATTTGCCTATTGATTGTCCAAAGCCAACAATTTTTAAATGGATTAACCCCACGTTATCAAGAAATAGCTTTCATTCTCTCAATATTTATAGAGAAGGATGCTATTTCATTACATTTGTGGAGAATGGAAGTTTTTATTTCTTCTTCCCTCACAAAAAATCTACTCACACATTCACCTCTATTTTATTACCTTCTCTGATGTAATTTCTTTTTGAATTGAATAAAATTATCATGACTATACAATTTAAAAGCAAAAGTTCATATTTAGCATCTCAAAAAGCATTTCTGGAATTTTGGGGATAACTATGAGCTTCACAGTGAAGAAGTCTATACATTTATTAGCTGTGAATTATATCATTCAGCATTTAAACTCACATCAACATTCAAAATAAATAAATACAATAAAATAAATGTTAATACAACACTCAATTTCTGTCTAGAAAATCAACTGAAGAAAAATTATAATGTCTGATACACTTTGCCAAAGGAATTATATCTGACCCCCACTTAAACTTCAAACAAAATAATTTTATCTAATAGGAAAAACCTTTGGCAAATGTTATACCTAGGCTTATATTCAGACAATAATTTTGCAGAAAAATATGTTGTTTCTTTTACAGCAATTGGAGTGATTTTAAATTGTGGAACCTGAATGCTAATGATGTAAGCAAAGTCACCTCTTCTTCACTCCATAATTTTAATTATCAGTTATTGCGTTCTTCCATGCAGAATCTTAAATGGTCAATTACACATGCCAGAAAACTGCACTCAGTACACAATGCAATAACAATACTAATGTTAATAAAGCTAGTTTACCAGTACTACTACTTACTTTGTCTTACTTCAAGATTATATTGATTGATGGTACATTGGAATACAGAGCCAGTTAGTCCTCATTCACTTTCAACCCTAAATACACAACCTGTTTTAATATTTAAATAATAAAACACGAGATGCAACTGCATCCAGGTACCTTATTTGTTTCAACAATCAACATTGATTACCATTTCATACAATACTCTTCTACGATTGTCATAGACTTTCAAAATAAAATTTAAGAAGTACTGAACCCATATTTAGTTCCTATCAATAATATGTGAAAGTTACCTATTAAAAAGTCATTAAAAATAACAGAAAGGAAAAAAGTTCACAAAATTACACAATTTCAGTTAAAAATAGACATTAAATACAATTCAAAATAAAAAAAACAGTGCTGCAGCAGCATGTACTTCCTTATACAAAGCATGTACTATTTGCAAAGGTTAGGTAGAAATATTACAATATGAGAACTTATGCTAAAATTTTAACTATCTCATGAAAAACTCTTTATCAAATGAAAATGACTCTTGTGCAATAAAATTCAGTGCCTTGTGCTCTTTCCTTACAAAATGTTTAAATAAAAAAGTTGGAAACTTTTTGAAAAAAAGTTGTTCATTACTTGAACCTGATTGATATGGTAAAATCAGTATTGGTGAAAATCCTGTGTATGGTTTAGGTGCTAGTGTCCTTCACAGATGGAGTGACCAACGGTTTGAGAAAAAAACATTCTTTGATATTAAGGACCCACAAAAATGTACATTTTTACTACACTACCTTGCTGATTACCTATAGTAAGTAATTTACTTCATGATGGAGAAAGAAAAAATTTTTTTTTTGGTGACAGGGACCCACAAAACAAGGTTTTCTGAAAAAACTGTATCTTTATTGCAGCATTACAAAACCTTCTGTATACTATATATATGAGGAAGTAAAAATTAAACCGTTGTTTGAGAATTTTTTGAAAATGGTCCATGGGATTTGAATAAACTACCCTCAAAAATTAAAATATCCAAGTTCTCCAATCATGAAGTTTGGCAAGGTGATTAGGGAAATATTCATTTCTGAGATAATCCTGGATATGGCTTAGTAGGTGCTCGAGTTGTTTACGAACAAATGCTTTTGAAAAATACACTTTTTTTAACAATCTTATAAAAATGTTTTATGTAGAAATACTACGCATGCATGAAGTTGGTCTTTTTTTCTGACTCTCCGCAAAAATACTTTTTAATTCTAGATGGCAAACATAGATGGCATTTTGTTTCAATAACCATAAAGAATAGAGATGAAATAAATATCAATTTTTGGCAGCATTGCATAACTCTATGCTAAATATACAAAATTGTTAAAAGCATGAATTTTTTGTACATTCAATAGTTTATCATTTCCATAGAAAATCTTCAGATTTCTTGAAGGTTTAAAAGCTCTTCGATGCATTAACATACCCTTCAAATAATCAAATATAGTACTTTTATCTTTCATACAAAGAAAGTATTTTATTTTGTCCTTCACACTCAAAAGTCTTCAAGACTGAGAAACTTTCTGCCCCTTAGAAAGTCTTTTCTCTCTTTTTGGTGGATCACTAAGAAACATTGGCTCCAGTAATTTCACTAGAGGCTCATGGCAGTGTTCTCAAATACATTCTTCTTCCTGTCAAGTGGTCAACTCTTGCATGCATTTCTTCATGTAGGTATCCAATTCTGAGTAATCCACCAAAGTATCTCGAACCAGTTCTTCAAGAATTGATGGCCATTGTTTCTCTAGGATTTTGAGTTTTTCAATTGCTGAACAAGCAAGTTCAATTAAATATGCAAGGTGAACTCTACCTTTATGTCTCCAAAGCAGATCTTCCTGTTCAAAAGTATAAACATAGTGCTTCAAATCATTGAAACTCATAAAACATTATCACATCACATTCCAATTTCATTTACTCACTGCAGGATTTATTTTGTGCTTTGAATAAGTTTTACAAATAATTATCACAATTCATGCAATACCATATTTTTCAGACAAAGAATTCAGAACCCCAGAAGTTTCTAGCAATTTTAGCACAATTACTAAAAAATAATTTATGTTTTCATAATTTTATACTCATAAACAAGTTGAACATGTACAATACATTTCACCGTAGTTTTTCTCTACCTTTCAGTAAAAAGCTGACCAAAACTTAGAAAACGAATTGAGAACTGTTAAAAAACAATGTAGTTGACTTTTAAAATATGAAATTCAGAATTAGTTGCACCAAAGTTTATGTTAATGAATTTATGGGTCTTGCAATTCTATTTCATTTCATGGCTAATCAAGGTTATGTCTAACAGGAATAAAGAAAAATAAACTACTGCCAGGTAAAAATTCACAAGTAAATAATTACTCTTCAAAATGTTGATTCTTTAATTGAACACACTAAATATCTCATTACAGAATGACATGTCACACAAGCAGAACTATTAACTACAAGATTTCATAACAAAAATTTTGTAACAACCTGAGTTAATGTTCCCCTGCGCCACTGCAAAGCTTCCTTGGCTACAACACTGCGAAGAGCTGGGTCTGCAGTGAACAACCACTGTTTGGCTGATTGCTGGGAGCTTCCTCGACTGCCTTCCAACCTCAACCTACTGAGTAGGGGCTGGAGCAAACTTTCTGGCAGAGACCACAGCACAATATTACTCAGACCCTGTGAGGAAAATATCATTGTTACACCAGTTATAGTAATTTTATAGTACAATCTACACAAGGCAAGTAAGTGGCTCTGTTTTCTTGAATTTACTTACTAAAGAAAAATTTCAACTCAAGAGATTTTATGTAATTATTATACAATCACAAGTTAGTAACTGTAGAAAGTGGAAAATTTGTATATCTCCTGAAAATGAGTGGACTCAAGCTCAAAATGACTAGAATAATGAAAATATAAAACTCAGGACACATCTATTAATTTTAATGTTTATAAACATTAAACTTCGTAAAATATATTGGACAAAATATACAATATCTCAACCAGAGAGTCCCAATTAATATATTGAATAAAATACCATTGTTTTTCCAGTGATGCACATAAGATTTAAAAAAAAAAAATTGCTAATTAAATTACAATCTGTATTGTAAATAGTGAAATTCTCCCTCCAGTTTATCAATTTTCCAAAAATCATTAAAAAACAAACAAGCATATTCATTTTCATGTTTTGCTTTGAAAACATTATTCCAAAGCAATATTTTTTGTCATATTCATAATGAAATCTTATATTGAAATTTTTTTCAAATTTTTAAACTACACATAATTGATGTGTACCATCTCAATTATTTTCCAACACCATTTTCTAATTTTTCTAAATTTAAACAATCAAGAAAACAAGAGGCCTGAGGCAATTGATCCAAAGGGATTCCTTTAAATTGATATTTTAAATAGTTTACTTAACACTTTATTATGAATTATAATTATCACATACATTACTTTTTATTTACAAGTTAATAGTTAAATCCACTCCTGAGCCTTCATTACCAGTCACTAATAGGAATAAGAATAAATTCATTTTTCATTTATTTTGAATGGAGAGAGAGACAGAAAAAAAAACAACAACAACAACAACAACAACATTTACGGCCTGGAGCAAGTTGACTCAGCCGTCTCCTCACAGCAAATTCAATTCTCTTATAAGGGAGCAATAAGTGGATTTTAAAGAAAAAGTCAGATGTAGAATAAAAGCAGCACAGATGAGATACCTGAGTTCACTACTACAAATACAAATAAAGGAATGCGTTAAAACCAAAATGAATAAGGAAAAAAAAAAATTAATTGGCAAGGACACATGAAAAGAATGAAACCTGCCAGATACCCTACACAGATCTTAAAATATATGACACAAGAGAAAGGAGTGAAAGCTTCCTTGGCTACAGGAAAGAAGTCTGGAAGATCCATACTGGGAAAGTCCACCATTTGAGGGATAAAAATCTATCCAATTACCATCTAATGCCTCAGTGGTGAAAAAAGCAGACTCTGAGTGTGGGACTGGGAATTTCAAAATAGCTGCACATTTACAAGTTGTTTAAACTAAATACTCTTGTGTGTAAAGCCTACCTATCAGAGACATCAATACTTTACAAATTTTAGAAGGTGGGCTCAATTGCATGCCTGTTTAAAAAAGGGGGAGGGGGGGGGGGGCTCTGACATATATTCCTACAATCTATATTTCTACAATCTTTAGGGAAAGGTGGATACTATTGGTGACTGATCATTGCTTAAAATCCCCCAAAGAAGCAATAGATTCCGCCCATTGGATGGAATCCCGCATTTTCTTCCTGCAAGTTTGCTTCCTGCTTTTTTTTTCCACACAACTGGGGGAATTCCGCCCAATATGGCATCCCTCCCAGGAACAGCTAGCAATGACTTAAGGGAATACTGGCAACCAGATGACCTTAAATGTTTACATGTGCGACACTGCTAGAGGAATCGGGGACATCCCCTTAATATTTACATCAAGAACTTTTATGATCAGACATATTAACATATTAAATCTACCCAACAGTATTTGGAGATTTGAAGGCAGTGCCAATAGGAGTGGATCTTTAGCTCTCTTTGTAGACATAAAACATACATAAGATGCAGCTCAACACAGACAATTGAAAATATTGTCACATGCTGAACACAAAAATGTGCTGGTTCATCTCAAGCTAGATGAGATTGCAACTACATTTATTGTAGCCAATGACTGTCACAGGGCAGAAAATATATAACAAGAGTATGTCATAGGGATTGGTCCAACCAACATTATAAAATTAGTACTAAAAACAATATGGGTCAATTTAGAATTGCTTATGTCAATACATGTGTGACTATTTTTTCATGTTGATAGTACACTTGAGTTTAACATCACAGAACATTATTCAATTCATGAAAAGCTGTGACTTAATGACCTTTCTTAATCTTCTGTGTGCACTTTGTTAACTTCAGTAAATCAAAATAGTGTTATAGAGTATAGTTTCCCTAATGTACTATCATGGAAATCATTTCCTTTGATGTCCAGCCTATATCTTATGGATCACAGATGCCCATGATTCATTCATGATTATAATAATGATGATGAACAGAAAGGAATTCAACTCAAAATTTAATCTTCAATAGTAGCTTTATACTCTCTAAATTCTTTCACATCTACTGAACATAGTATCTGATACCACAGAGTATTGTGAATAGTGTACCTTGATTAAGACAATTTGCAAGAAATTAATTTTGAAAAATAATTGGTAGTCATGCTAGTAAAATTTTGTGCTTCTGAGCATAATCATTGCAAAATGAACTCCTAGGACCAAAAACATAAGGACACTATTCTTTTATATTATTTTTTGAAAACTTTGTCTAAGAATAAATACCAAAATTGAGACAATTCAATCAAATAGTCGAATCTATATTTTCTTTTCTTCAATTAACTGAAAATTCAATTCTCAAGCTGTATTTAGATATTCAAGTAAAACTAACATAAATAGATTGGATTTTTTTTCTTTCATGTGTAGGCCTACTCGGACCACACGCAGCAGGTGCAAGTACCTTTCTTGGAGGGGGAGGAACTACTGCCTTAACAATCCAACCAGCTAAATAGATTGGATAATGAAATGATAAAACAAAAACAATGGTATAAATAAACATTTTCAGTACATCATAAAACATACTTGAAATTCCTCACAGGCAGTTGTAATATCTTCATCTGTTATTTCTACTCCATTGATGCATCGAAGACCCCAATGGGATAACCTATAAATTGCATATTTTTGCCATTCTTTTTGAGTGATAGGATTACCCTCGCAATCAATTTGCAAAGATGTTAGTCCCTGAACATCAGCCAAAGCATTTAATTGGCCCAAACAATGCAAGTTTGTTTCACGAAAAATATAATGTTCCACATTAGGAAAACGAATCTTAAGTCTTCCTAAAACTGGTATGATATTGTTGAAATTCATGTAGGTAAATTTTACAATAGTAACATCTCCAGCTTTGCTTGAATTCCAGGGCCTGTCAATAAATCGAAGAGCTCCTTGACCATAAATATTCAAACAGCGCCCACATATTTCTACCAGAAAATCTCCACCTGAAGAAGACACAATAATGAATAAAAACAATAAACCAATATTCAAATATCATTTCTCTTTTTATAACTTTTTTTTATATTAATAACATGTTATAAATAGTGAGAAAAGATATTTTATAAGTCCATTTTAAGATTGACAAAATTAATTATGATATTTCTTACAGCACACAAAATATAATGTTCAATAAAATTGAGATGTCTCATAAGAGTAGATGCTATGATCACAAACATATGAAACTGAGGTAAATTAAGTTTTACATTCAGTTTGTTTTCTCATTAATTGACAAAATATAGGTGACATGCTTTCCTCCTCACTTTCATGACAATACACTTTTTTTTATTTGGAGAAAAACAAACGATTAATTAACAATTCTTAAAGCTTTTACAGCCATTTTAAAGAAATAAATTTATTTCTAATGAACAATTTTCTATTTTTTATCAAAATCATTGAATTTCATGGACTATGTCTTCTAAAAGAAGGTAATCCAAGATGAAATAAAACATCTTATATATATTTTTAACACTTTTACTGAAATCACATGGAAACATGGTACCACATGAGAACAGAAAGTTCATGAAATTGAAAGTAATGTTTTCACTTTTGTTCATGCACCCTGTCTACATTAAGGTGATAAATATTTTGGCAAGATTGAAATTTCCTTTTCTATCTTTCCTCACCACTACGTAAAAAAAAATATATTCATATTTTTAGAGTAATTAACAATAAAAATGCAAGCCATAAAGCACTTGAAGTTTTCTGGAATACTTTTGGATTCTTTTTTTATCCAGAGAGCAAAGTTTATGTAACAGTTGTAGAAAGTGAGATTTGACTAAAATTGATTTTTCAACATTGATTCTTCAACTTAATCTTAGCACCAGTTTTTATTATCAATTATTGTTTTTGTAAGAAAATATTCTCCATATTAGACAAAGGAAAACCTTGCCAATGATTATCTACACAAAATTATGTTTTAATAGAAGAAGAGGAAAAATTCTTTATGTGCTCAGAGAAATAGATTAATATTATTTAATTGGTTTGGAAATGTACATTCCTCATTGTTTTGAATTATAAATATAACATTTTAAAAACATCTAAGTTTGCCCAAATAACTACCTACAGACACTCACAATCACTTACTAAACTATGTATTGTAACACATGCTTTAAATTTTTTTAAAAATCAGATCATCATGCATCAAACAAAACTTATAATCAATGCTATAAGCTTAATAACATATTCTGATATTTTAAAACCTAATTTAGTAAAAATAATAGAAACTTAATAAATTATATTTATGCTCAATTATTAAATAAGAAGCAGAAACAAATACTAAAAAATACCTAAGAAATATTTTCATTAACACTTTAACTCTTTAAACATTCTTATACTACAATAAAACAAGTATTTCCGATGTTAACATACTTCACGTGTATAGATATATCACATACAGACAAATATGTTACATCATGCATGTATGCCCTTGCAATGAATGTTATATGTATATATAAAATGTGTAGGATAAGTTGAGCCAAATATAAATACAGTATAATTAGATAATAAAAAGAATACTGAAGAGATAAAATAAAGGAACTAATAAATATAAGAATAAAAATCAATGAATATGTACAAGAATAAAAAACAACAACAACCAAATAAGAGCAAAGCACTCGTATTATTCAATAACAACTCTTCAACAAATAAATGCACAAAAATGTAATTTCTCTATTTAATTTTTTACTACTAATAATGAATAAAACTTAGAAGTAAACGTTCAAATTGTTTAAGTAAAATAAAAAATTGTTTATGCACCTTGTTCTCGAGTTTTACAAGAAGCACTTAGAGACTTTTGTTTAGGTCTTGCAGTTGTTGCACGCAGCATTGGTTTGCGAGAAACATGTTTGCGATATGGCATAGCACTTTTGATACTTCTTTTCGAATCCTCTGCTTGAAGATTTGTTTCTTTGGATGAACCAAGCTCTTCACTTGAATCTATTTCTTCACTGCTGCTTGAATCGCTAGGTAAAGAACTTAGAGAGCTATCTACATTAGGTTCAACACTAGACAAACTATCCCAACGACGAATAATTTCATTTCTTATGACAGGTCCATCTGATGCAATTTCAGATTGACTTAAGTTACCTTCTTCTTTATCAATTGCCATACTACCAAAAAGTGGAGCTAATATTGGAGGTAGCTTAAAAAATTCAAAACTAGTAGAATTACTTGTGACTGTTGTAAACTGGGAGGCTTCTGAATCTTGAGACTGGGTTCTACGTGAAAACTTAGATCTTCTCTTCTCTGCATCTCCTATAGGCAGTTCCCTCACAGCAGGTTTAATAGAATTTGCAGTAAGAGATGAAGTTATACTAATACCTGAATCACTCTGCACACACCTCTCAGCATTCATATCTACATCTAACTCTGTTCGCAAATCTTTCAAAGATCCACTCAAATGGTTTTCCATAGGAAAGCCTCTTGTCTGCGAACGTAACAGTTCCCAATTTGTTCTAGCATTTGATATAACTTCTTCACGTTTTGCATCAACAACCGAGTCACTACTTTTAACACACAGCTGATTCTGCGTTCCTTCACGATTTGCTCGCCACATCAAAGCAGCTTTTCTAACAGAGTCTGTCACTTCCATGTGACTAAGACTTTTAAGATTTGGTAGATAAGACACTAAGAAAGAAACGCAGTCCCCTCCAAGCGACACAGGATTATTGTCAATTGTGAGTTCACGAAGCTCTGTAGCCTTGGTTATACTAGTCATATTGTCAACCCTGAAAAATTCAAATCAAATAAATTACAATTAAAAAATAATAATCCAAAGACAATATTAAATAAAATATATTTACTTACACACTTAATTCATTATTGCTAAGAAATAATTTCTGAAGCTGAGGAGTTTCTGCAAATCCTAGTAAGCGTTTAAGTCTATTTCGACGGAGGTTGAATTCCTGCAGAGATTTAAGTCCATGAAGGTCATTTACTCCAATGACACGAATTTGATTACCAGCAAGGTTCAAAACTTTCAATTCTTGAAGGTAGGTCAGTCCTCCCACTTGGTATATCTGATTTCCGTGTAAATCCAATACCTCCAATTTTCTCAAATTATTTAAACCTTCTATTCTTCTAATCCTTATCACAAATAATTATGAGGTAACTAGTGATTATATAACACATATTATCACAATTTATTTTTCTCAAATTCTTACCTATTTTTACCCATCAACAGTACCCGAAGATTTTCAAGATAATCTAGGCCTGATACCTTTTCCAGTTGATTATCATAAATATCTAGAAAGACAAGTCTTGATAAACTTTGAAGAGAGAGATCATCCAATCTTGAAATTAGATTGTGTTGCATGGACAACAGTCTCAATCGAGGCTCGCCAATTATAACAGGTAATTTAGTTAACCCGCGTCTAGAAAAGATTATATTTTCAGGCAAGAGTATCATTAACTCTAATAAATCAAGGGTACTGACAGGCCAAAACTCATCGTAAGTTGGAATGTCTTTTTTATATGTGATTCATAATTTCACAATCATATACATTTTAAACCTTATTTCAAAACATTCACTTACCTATCCAAACATATTCTATCTGGTCTTCTGTCTCGTTCATGAGGTGCTCTTGAGGCTTCAATTCTACCATTAGATGTGGTATGAAGGGTAACAGAATCAATAATAAGACTATCTACTTCATCTGATCGAGAACCTTGCTCACCAGAAGTAATACAAGATGGAAATCCCGACCTATTATCATAGTAAAAATATTTGAAATGTCCTGGAGATGAGAATAAAGACAAATACAAATATGCAACACCATTGTGCCAAACTGTTTCAGAATAAACAATTATTTTTTATATTTACTAAGCTGAAAATAAAAAGAATTTTCCTGTGTCAAAATTGGTCAAAGTATGAAGAAAATAAAATCAATAAAATATATTAACTTGTCTATTGCATTAATAAATGTAACCACACTTTGAATAAGATTTGAATAATATTTAAAAGTATGCATTGTCTTTCAGATGCCCAAATGCTTCTTCATATGTATTATTTTTTACAGCATAATTTACTTAACTAAGGTATAATATAAAAAACTTAAATAAGGTATGTTCCTTGTGATTATGTTGTAGATAGTACATCACAACACTCGAAACACAAAAACCTGCCTGAAAAAATGTACAAGTTACAACAATAAGATTTAAATTACAGATGCTAGCATTAAGGATGAATAAAACTTTGAGAATACTGAAGAGGAAATTGCAATATTACCAAACCAGTGGTAACCCATTATAATAATAAAGCATTTAATGCTAATGTCCTATTTATCTCAAAATATAATAAAATATGCTGATAAAGTGCAATAAAAAATACTTCAAATAAACTGGCTGAGTGATTGAAATTTAACATAAAAAATATGAATTCTTAAAAAAATGTAACAAAAAACAGATCAATATTTATTTCTGGATCTTAATTTACTTTCATTCGCTTTGATTATCTAAAGTCAGACTTTATAAAACTGAGGACATCTTCATTATAAGAATTATGAAAACATAAATGTTCCAATAATCCATAGTGATGTCTTGACTAAACTTAAGTCTGACATATTTCACAAGATTAATAGAAAAATTTAAATAAAAATTCTAGTGCATTGGAATTTAACAAAGTGTATAAAATGTGAATGTTATTAACATTGTAACATCTTTCTAATATACACTACTACATACTCTTTGCTACTTCACTTGATTGCTCAGTCTAATTAAATTTCAGAATTCTCCCCTTGTGCAATGTCTTACAATACCTACTTAACAAACAATTGTGAGGCTATTTATTTTTGGGTTAATAAATTTATTAAAATCATTTTATTGTCTCAGATGTGTATTTTTAGTTCAAAAAACAAAGTAGCCTAGATTTTTATCTAATGCATTCTCTTAAAATTTAAAACCTTAAATTGGGATAGCATAATCCGGAAACAGTTCCTTAACAATTCATTTTGAATTAGAAAAAATACTGAATATTGGGATTAGGGCTACTCACTGTAGCTCGCTCATCACTAGCAGGAAGGAAAATAAAATAAATGAGACGAAGATACGGAAGGACCCAATGATTACCCCTGCAGCATCATCGTGCTTTTCAAAATCCGCTGAATTCGTGCATCAAGATTAAACCCTCCTGAAAAGTATTAAATCCGAACGGAACCCAACAAAATCCTCGTCCGCTAAGTGTCCGCTCTCGTTTCCAACTTGAATCAACAATAACAAGTGACGTGCGATTAGTTCTCAGAGCGTGCAAAACACGGCAATTGTGTCGTTTTATTTATTTTGTCTTCTTTGTCGTTTACCGTAAAAACACGAATTATTACTTTTATTTTACAGTCTAGTAAAGTTCTGTGCATTGAGAGAATAGAAACCAACATGAAATAACTTTTCCGCCATGAATTCCATCTTTCTTTGTGGACTATTGTTGTGTCATGCCCTTCTCCAGAAAAAATGTACCAGTTGCGGCTAAATCCCCGACACCGTTCGGTGACTAGCGCCGTTGTGGTGCTTTTGGGAACTATTGCGAGCCGATCATCCTGGTTCTGTTCATTCCGCGACGTTCGATTCTACAAGAGATTCTTTAAAGAGAGTGGTTCTATGCCTTTCCTTATTTTCGTATTACGTATTTTCGATTCTTTTGTAATTTGTATCGAAAATACATATTTGAACGTGTATTTTGTATATGTATCGAAAACATTTTCTGACAGTATTATATACTTTCAAAATCAAAAATACTTTATTTTAAACCGTTGTTGAAAATTTGAATTTAAATATGCAGGCAAATCTGGATAAAAACCGTCGATAATTCAACTTTTTGACCTTTGGAAGTAATTTTTCATTCCCTGTCGAAGTATTTAGAAGAAAGATTTTGATAATTCAAATGTTTAGTAAGGGAAACGCGGACGAACACACGTGTGAGTTTTAGGAAAATGTGGACGAATAAACAATACCTTGCATTCTTGGCTATCCGGAAGCTTATGAACGCAAACGATACCTTGACCCAAAGGGAGCGCTAAAAGCGTGTTCATCGTTCACTCCCTGAAATATAGGGGAAGTCTGTGGAACTATTTTCATAGGAAGCATTCCACCAGTGTTGCTAGAGGTTTCCGCAACGCGTTTCCGCATTTTCCGTTGCATTTTCGACGATAAATCCGCATCGACCCATGCCTAAAAGTCCGCCTTTTTACGATTTATGAAAATTATAACTTTTTTAGTTGACAATTTGATGGGTTTTGCACTTGCATAACATCGAATGGGCTAGACCAGAGAGTATTGTCTGTCGGCAAGGCACTCGGCTCTCAAGGCATGCATGTGCAGAACCAGCAGTTGTAAGTCAAAAAAAGCGACAAGTGTAGTAATAGTAGATAAGAAGACACAATGTCACATATCTGGCGATTTGGCGATGCGTACTCATGCTGGGGTTAGACTGGGGTTGTATTACTCGCTGGGGTTGGACTAGCCCCTGTGAAGCAGCCAAATCCATTTTGTCATAACACATTTCACAAGAAGTTCTACTAGAATCGAACTAGGAATCTCAATGGTGAAAGAAATGCGACCTCGCCACCGAGCCACGAGAGCACCTGCATCATTTTCTGCAAATACTTTACATTTTTCTAATAATTTTCGTATGAGAACAGGTTAAGACATTTGTCTGCGATTGTTGGGCAAAGAAAACATATTCGACTAAGCAACTGTTCATGACTAAATGACACAGAGTGGAATATCTCCTATCATTCATGTTAAAATATTAGAAGTATAAAGTGTGTAGTATGTGGCACGTATTACAAGAGTAAAACTTATAGAATTATTTTCAAGGGTTCACGATTTATAGGATATACTACGCTGCGTTCCTAAGCTAGCAACCAGCTGTAATACTTATCATGTAGCAAACATGTTTTACTTTCCTTGCCGTAAGTACAAATTATTTGTTAAGGTCAAGTGAGAGAACTTATGTGGTCCACCTGTTGCTTAAAAGGGTTTACTTTAGGATGTAGTATAAACTTATTTGGCTTCAGGGATGTTTCCATTTTATGAACAATTACATAACATATTTTACAAATACGATCAACAAATTTTATTTTGCAGTTGTCATGTTACTAGATTAGAGTGAGACCAGTTCTAAATTAATGCAATTAAACAAGTAGTCTCAGCAAACCCTAGAAATCATCTGTTCACCATTAAATTAAAGTGATTTAGTATATTGTGTTCAGCGTGTACTATTTATATGTTTCAAATACTTTAAGATCATGTATTTAAATATTCATTCTTGTGATAGTTCCGAGTTGTTAGAATAAAGCTAGATCTTGCAAAGCGTTGTTTCACGAACCAACTAGCTTATTGCACACTCATTCAAAATTTACTTCTACTTCTGCTACATTTGGCCATAAATAATAATATCGTCAAAAATATATTGAATGATTATAGCTAGATCTCAGAATTAAGTAATTTTCCTGACTAATAGGCCAAATGATGAAAGTAGATCTTGAAATGTGATTTGAGTATAGCAATAATTATGATAGAGGAATAGATGTTCATTAAGTTGTTGGACATACACATGAGATCCTAACAAAAACTACGTGCTTCACAATTTCATTGATAAGAAAGTGATGGAGTTTTCTGTAAAATTCAATTCGATTTATGGTATGCGAAAATGATTATAGAAAATGCCTATACAAATTAATAAAGAAATGTTACTTTGAACTTTTGAAATAGTTTATTTTCACTTTCATATACTGTTTATTATTATATCAAGCAATAATATAACAAATACACATAAAGAACATGATACGCAAAATCCAATGAGAGCCAAAAATATATAAATTGATATTGTCAGGGCCTCGCCTTGTGTCTCTGGTTCTTGGGATATTGGAGCTTCACCAACACCTGTAACAGTTCTATCTTTTGTTACCACAGGATAAGTTCCATTTCCTTGCATTTGAGTATTCTTAGATTCCTTGACACGTGAAACAAGATCATCCGTTTTGTTGAATGATTGCACATGTGAGACCGTGTTTACTGGCATCTTTGTGGAAGAAGCTATTTCTTCACTTTCTACAGGAGCTGCAGTTTCTTCGTGAGCAGGCTGAGAATATTCATTGATTTCACTAGAACGAGTATCAGTAATTTCGCTTTCAAAAGTTGTTCCTACACTTCCCGAAGTAATTTCACCCTTTTCTGAGGTATTACTTTTTTCAGTTTCTACGACAGAAATAGCTAATTCGGCGATCACCGTTGTAGAAGAACCATATTCTGTAAGAGGATGCTCGGCTTCAGATGAGTGATAAGTGCCATTTTCATGTTCAGTATACGTAATAACTTCAGTTTTATTGATTTCTGCTACTGAATACTCAGTTTGGTATGGTTTTCCATGAGAAAAATTACCTTCACTTCCCATCCCGTGAGGAATGATTTCGTCTTTAGTGAGAGGCGCTAATTCCTCGACTGTTACTGTGTGTTCAGCAGTTGTGTCAGTTTGCATTTCAAGAGGAGATTGATCTGACTCTTCAAAAACAGTTTGTTCGTGATCAGAAGGGGTGTAATCTGTTGTTCCGTTAGTCTGATGAGGGAAGGTTGTAGCTTTTGCTGTGTTAGACTCGTAATGCAAAGCTGATTCCTTTGTCGATGTAGCGTTTGCTGTGGTCTGATGAGGGAAGGTTGTAGCTTTTGCTGTGTGAGACTCGTAATGCAATGCTGATTCCTTTGTTGATAGGGGATTACCAAGAACACTAGACGATTCTGTACCTTTCGTCGTTTCTAGAGCGGTTACGTTGCTTAATAGATCAGTAATAGATAAATTGTGGCTTGCAGCTATTTCTTCTCCTTTTGTAACAGAAAGGGACTCGTCGACATTTTCTGCTGCTTGGGATAGAGTTGTCTGAATCGTTGTTTCGGTGTCATGCCATTCTTCAGATATTAGAGAATCAGGGCCTAATGTGGTCACCGAACTTGCTTCTGAAGTATCGGTACGTGATTGGTCATTTCTTTGTATTGAAGCCGAAAATGTTAATTCAGTAATGTCTACGGTTGTGATTTCGATTTCAGTATACTTGACAGTCGATGTTGAACCGCAATCTACCTAAAACAATATTTGAGTAGTATTGTGTACAAACTACTTAGAATTATAAGAGTTTCATATTAATTCAGTTAGGAGCTGATTATTGATACAATTGCCTAATTTTATTCAATTATTCAAAACTACACTGTTTTTTATTTGAGAGAAGATACTATTATCTTGTATATTTTTGGCTTCCTATAAAATTATCCAAAGAAGTGAAGGAATTCAAAGCAACACAACTAAATTTATGATAACTCTTCTGGAAAGGAAAGGTTTGTAAAACACAAACATGTAATTCTTATATTAAAAATAGTATTTTGTACAGGTGTCTAAGAATACATATTACAAAATTATAGGGTATTAAGTGGGGTTGAAATTATCACTCTCGTGTACCTGCCGAATTAAAGCGCATTCCAGATATCTATTTATCAAGGCCAAATGTCACATGTATGATTTCTTTATATCAAATATCTTAGCACATGTTCATTGTCAAAAATTATCTTCGACCCCCTTCAAACCCCCTATAAAATTTTAGCATTCATTCTGAAATATTCTGTATAAATACAATAATACGAGAATTAATTTCAGATATGCTTATATAATGTTTCTTACCGTAAGTACACTGTTAATTATTCCTTTTGTCAGAGTTCTCATCAACAAAGCACTCTCATGGCCACAGATCTCTTCCGTTTTATTGTAGTAGCAATTTTCAATGTCTTTAAACGTCCTAGAAATCTCATTGAAGGTGAAATTAAATATTAGTTTTAAGATACTTTTTACCTATATAAGTTTTAAGATACTTGATAAAGTTAATCAAAAATACGTATGGCTCCAGGACATTTCGTCTAAAGACCTGTTCCCTATCACTCATAGACATTTCGTTTACTTTCATAAGTTTGCAGATTATTTGTCCACTTTAAAAGTTATTTAGTATTTGTGTTAATGTCCCATCATGTTCTGGGACATGACTTCTACAATTTCGTCAATAGTTTAAACAATTATGGTTATATGTCCTTTCCCTAGTGCAATAGTAGTTATAATTAGGGAAATGATACTAATGATTTCAATAAAAACTTTTCTTTATGGATATTATTTCGTTTTAATTATTTTTAACCATGGCTGGTGTGGAATGAATTATTTGTTGGTT